AATAAAAACCAAAGTAATCGACACTTACAATTCTCTGCCACAAAAATGCACCACCACCACCATAAGTGCCAATGAAATATGCTGGCAAATATCAGATAACTGGTTAGGACATTTCTGCACCTGTACCGCATAACCTGTAAATGAAAGGCTAGAATGGTCAAAAAGCAAAAAAAAAAACAATACGAAGAACCCAACAAAAACAACACAAACAAGGAACTAGACAACCTTTTCTTTACGCAATAAAAGCATACGCTTGAGTAACTCTCTTCTTCTGGTCGGAACAATTGCCAACCAATTGACAATTTCTTTCAACATCACTGGCAGACCAACCAACACCAACGCATTAGACACAAGACTTGGCTCGACTCAAATATGATGGTATTTTCTGGATGCCAGGCATTTTAGTGTACAGCATTCGTATGGTATGATGTTCGACTGTGTGTTTGCGTGTGTAATACTGGGAACCATTAAAATTTAATGGCAAAATATGGCAATGATGTCATCCTTTTGTGTATTTCCTCATTTCTATGGTAAATACATATGTGCATGTGTATGTATATATAACTGAAATGACTTTTAGATTATGTGCATCAGGTATATGAAGTGAAAATTTATGATACCCTTGAAGATCATTTTACGGAATTCCAGCATAATGTCCAATAATAGGTATTGTAATGATAATTTGAAAGGGACGGAATTTTAGAAGTTATAAGAAAACGTTATGGAAAATTTCAAGCAAATAGAAAGTGAGTTCTAATATTAATATTTATACAGGTCCTAACTTACATGACCATGGTCAGAACGAGGTAGAGGTGCTCATTCTGTATATATCAGATATGAAGGAAAAACAATTTATAGATAAATTTAATCTACACAACATATTTTACATATTTTTCGAACTCTTATACATTGAATTGGACACTCTTATACATTGAATAGGGACACGATTAAATCAATCTCTGGTTGTAGTTTCAACTTGAATATTTATCCTGAAATTGTATGTTGATAAAAACCTCTACGTCTGTCTCTTTTAATCAATTCTGGGAGTTTTGCATAGCCGCATCTGTCAGTTATATTTACGCTAGAGCTCATTCAGTGCTTACACTTCTCGAATGTATGTTATAAAATGGGATATGTTGGTCAACACCTTGTTATGGCCTTGAATGTTATCCTCATTTTGACATTTCGAACTCTCGGAGGGTGAAAAATATATTTAAAAACAATTTTAATTTTTTTTGTGGGTAAAAACATTCAATATTTGTTCACGGGCATATTCCAGGTTCGCCCCATTTTTGGAATTTGAAGAACAGCCTTAAGGTATTTTGAATCGTCACCTCAAAGAGTAGGGTATACAAATGTCGGCCTAAATAACAAAGCTCTTCTAACACTGTGCAACATGATTAAGGTTTGCTAATCTGGAATCAGGGCCGAAAAAGACGCAAAATGACTAGATATAGAAAGAGGATATGCTTTATACAAATATTGCTAGTCTAATTTGACTTACGATATGTCATCGCAATAGCCACAAAACAACAATATGCACATTGTTCCTTATTAAAAAATAACATTGTGCCATAATTAAAAAATAACATATTCTGAATTATTGCTTAATTATTGCTGAATTAAGGGGTTTCATCATCGAAGTGAGTAAACGAAAGGAATGAACCAGTAAGGAAAGTTCAAAAGTCGGACGAGGCCGACTATATGATACCCTTCACCACTTTGGGTACATACATACGGACATGCCATCTTTACAGGACCTTTGAAAAAATTTTGCCTCAATTAGAAAATGTTTACAGGGCCTTTGAAAAAAAAATTGCCTCAATTAGAAAATGTTGGGAGTTTGGTGCACCACTTAGATAAATTCGGAAGAAACTATGCCTAAACGCGGATCAACAAAGCCTATATTCGAACTTCACCTGCTTGTAGACAAAAAACGACTCTATGCAAATTTTTGGCGATCTATCTCAATTTGTTTAGACGCCAGAGTGATTACGCTGATCAATAGAATTTTACGCTGATCAAGAATATATATACTTTATGGGATCGGAAATGATTATTTCGATGAGTTACAAATGGAACCAGTAAGGAAAGTAGTAAAGTCGGACTGGGCCGACTATATGATACCCTTCAACACTTTGGGTATATTCTACATATGTATCCTAACAAACGTCGGGTTTTTGTTATATATCTATATTTGAACCGATTTCAGGGAAACTTGCCACAGACTTATGTATATTACCTCAGTACGTTATGTCAATTGGCCTAGCTATAAACCTTTTCACGAAGCTTATCAACATCATTCTAGACTTGATTCAGTACGCTATGCCAAAATTCGTGCAAATGAAAAGATTTCCAGGGACTTTGGTGCACCATTTACCTAAAATCGGGCGAAACTATATATGGGAGCTATATCTAAATCTTAACCGATTTTCACGAAACTTTGCACACATCATTCTAGACTTAATTCAGTACATTATGCCAAATTTCGTGCAAATCGAAAGATATATAGGGACTTTAATACACCATTTACCTTAAATCGGACGAAAATATATATGATAGCTAAATCTAAATCTGAACCGATATTCACGAAACTTTGCACACATTATTCTAGACTTAATTCAGTACGCTATACCACATTTCGTGCAAATCAAAAGATTTCCACTAATGTATATAGGGACTTTGGTACAGCATTTACCTTAAATCGGACGAAGATATATATGGGAGCTATATCTAAATCTGAACCGATTTTAACGAAACTTGGCAGACATCATTCTAGACCTTATTCATTACGCTATGACAAATTTCGTGCAAATCGAAAAATATATGGGGACTTTGGTTCACAATTTACCTTAAATCGGACAAAACTATACATGGGAGCTATATCTAAATATAATTTTTTTTCACGAAGCTTTGCACACATCATTCTAGACTTAATTCAGTACGCTATGCTAATTTTGTGCAATTCGAATGATATATAAGGACTTTGGTACACCATTTACCTTAAATCGGACGAAAATATATATATATGGGAGCTATATCTAAATCTGAACCGATTTTTCCCAATTTCAATAGGGTTCGTCCTTGGGCACTTATTCGGCCCAAATTTCATCCAATTCGGATTATAAATGCGACCTGTACTTTGTTTACAATTTAACAATGAGAGACAGACGGACGGACGGACATCCATAAATCGACTCAGAAAGTGATTCTATGCATATTCTCCAAAGGAACCATGAGTCTATCTCGATTATTTTTGCAATATGCACAAAGACATAATACCCTGTACCACATTGTGGTGAAGGGTATAAAAACAAAATGTATATACCATCCATACTATGGTGGAGAGTACAAAAAAGGGTTTATATGGGGACTTTTACGAATATTAATAGTTTTTGGAAGGGAGATTTGTTACAATGTACGACTACAAAATAACAACTTTAGGGGACCCCCCCCCCATTCTTGGGGTCAAATTTTTTTTTTTTTTTTTTTTGATTTAATTCGATTCTACACTAATTCAAGAATGTCCCTACAAAATTTGTATAATCAAGTGACGGCTAAAGGGCTTCTCAAACTTTAAACGCGTTTTTCTCTTTTGTGAATGGCGGGCACGATAACTCAAAAACTAATAACCCAATCGATTCCAAATTTTTACACGTTTCTCTGTGAGTGTATAGCTATCATTTGAACTAGGATAAAGACAATCGGTGAAGATCTTCCTTATTTTTTAACTTGATTTTTGGTCCGCCATTTTGTTAATTTTAGAGCGAAGTCAATAATCCTATTTCATACGAGAGCCAGACATGTACTCTTTCTAACACCGTTGGAATTTTCGGATTCCGATGTTCCAGTGGGGAGTTATCATGCCCGCCATCAAAAATAAGGACTTTTCTTTAATTACAAAAAACAACAACAAAGCAATAACAAAAATGTTTTGTAAATTATGTTTCTTCTCTTTTAAATCTTCAAATATATATGTGCAAAGCTACAAACCTTAACAAGCATTGGTATTGATTTACCAGCCCATTGAAAATCTTTGAAAAATTAAAATTGAGAATGGGTGGGGTTCCCTTAAAGCGAATTCGTTTTAAAAACGAGCTCAAGAACCTCAAAATACCGAAAATTAAGGATAACTTTATATGGAGCTATCCGAAAAAAAAATTACCAACATTCGTAATTTTTTGTGGAGAGATTGTTACCTATTAAGAACTCAAAATATTTAATTACAGCCAATTCGTTGGAAAAATACAAAATACTGAAATTTAGGCATACCGTTATAAGGCGGCTACCAGAAAAGTTAGACCTACATTTATAATTTCTTTTGTAGAAATTTAGTACCCAATAAGAACCCAATGTACCAATTTTCAGCGAATTCGGTTGAAAAACACGGCCAAGAACTTAAAAATACCGAAAATTGGGGGATACCCTTATATGGGAGCTATGCCTAAACGTGGACCGATACAGCGCACCTTCGAACTTGACCTGACAAAAGACGACTCAATGCTAAATTTTGGCGATCTATTTCAATTCGTTTAAAAGGTCGGAAATTATTATTTCGATGAGTTACAAACGGAAAAACAATATTAATATACCCTCCATACTATGGTGTACAGTAAAAAATAGAACGTCAGATTTGATAATGTACTATATCATACTGCATTTGGACCTAGCCACTATATAAAAATTCCTACCAATTTAATATTAGATTAGGGAAAATAAATCCATTATTTTTATATCAACTATAGGACTTTATTTAACATGCTTCGGAATGTCCAAGTATGCACCGTTTTGTTTTATGATTTGTAATCCACCACTCGATATTGGTTCACATGGCAGTGTAACTGTCACTCAACTTCCATTTATTTGACGATTTAATCATAAGGTTCTATGTGCGTATGAATTATATGAATCATACGCCATTTTTGGCTTCGACTTTTGATATAAAAATGTTTAAATAAAAATAATGTATTAACTAAAACATTTTTTCATTCCCATTCTAGTGGTGCCGGCTAGAGATCCAGTTATAACTGGCATACGTTCACGTTACAAAGTTGGTGATATAGTGCGAGGCAATTGTACATCGGGACACTCAAGGCCAGGTGCAAATATCACGTGGTATATTAATGGTTATGAGGTAAGTTTGGCATTTATGAAAAAAAAACTATTTTAAGGCTTAAATTTGCAAAATGTTTTTTTTTTAATTTTAAACTTATTACTGAGCCAATAAATATGGCTTAGTGTTAAGTAATGTCCTGGCCATTGTCCACACAATTATTACACAACAGTACTAACCAGAAAAAATCAACACACAAACAAACAAATAAATACATAAATAAAAACATCTGAATATTGTTAAACTAACTTTTTGGCGCTGAGAAATATTACAACAACAAAAGCAGCAGAAAACTATAGTCAAAAACAGGCAAATCTATGAAACACAGGAACAGAATTTCCTATTTTATTCAACTGAAAGGACCAAGTTTTACAGATGTTTGTGTGGTTAAAGGGTATATGTGCGGGGGGGAGTGGTAGAGACGGAATTTGCGGGGTTTGCCAAAAATGTAAACAAGGCTTAATGTTAAATAAAACAACACTCTAGCCCCCCTGCAAACCATACAGAACATGAACAAAACTTTGTCTGGTTTTATAGAGATAAAGCAACAAAAAAGTAGCAACAACAACAGCAGCAACGACTAAAAGAGGAACTAAACTCTGTTATAACAGCAGCAACTACAAGCCATGTTAAACTCATTGGTCAGGCAAACATATTAGTAACTTTTTTGTTGTCCAACACTCCACTCCGCATCACATCACACCACCCAATTCTCTAACACTAACCAAGAAATACCTATCCACAACATCAGCAGCAGCCATAGTCAAACAGAAGTTACGAAATTGTCGAGAAAGCAAAAACCCCAACAACAGCAATCCTTGTATTTCAACACAAACAGAAAAACTCTTTAGAACAACAACATCAACAAACCATGGGAATATAATTTAATGTCCACTTAAAGAATTTTTAGGTGCAAACACACCGAAAATGTTTTTACAGCTCCTCACACGAAAGTTATACGGATATCCTTCAGGAAAGAGTATGAGAGAGCTGGGTGGCTAATACTTAGCTAAGGTGCGGATATTTATTTTTGTTACGGTAATTTTGCTATTTTTTGGTTTTTGTTCTTTTATTTTGAGGTGTAATGCCAAAACATGAAACTAAATAAGTAAATGGAGGCAAATTAAATGTAATATTGCCGCATAAACAATTGCATTAGCCGGTTGAATGCCATAATTCGATGCAAGTAAGAAGTTTTGTTCTGTTTTTGCTCAACATAATTGAAAGGCTGGAATTTATTTAATTGGTGTATGGTACTGCAACTGAGTTCTGAATAATATATGGGCAAAAAATACTAGAAAGGTTTAAAATTGAGTTTCAACCTTTTAATGTAATGTTTTTACCAAACATAAATTAAATCCGAAGACGATATCTACAGCACAACTTATCGCAGTGTTTCCCACATATGATGAACTCTCTTTATTGTACGGCCCCATAGAGTCTAACATCAATCGGATATAGTTCAGATTTGATCAAAACTTTGCATACAGCAATACTTTTATTAAGGGGCCCCTTTGCCCATAATTCCCAAATGTGTAATAGTTGTGGGTACCGTTATATGGGGCTATCCAGAAAATGTTTCAATATTAATAATTTTTGGCACTACGCTTTGTAGCTTTGGCACTACGATTTGAAAAGGACCAATGTTGATGATTTTTGGTTTGATGATTTGTTTTGTGAATTCAAAATGCTAATTTGATAGAAAACGTGCCAAAAATACCAAATTGGGACTATCGTAAAATGTTCATCAATATTGATAAGTTTTATTAGAAAGATGTGTGAAACAATGAATACTCAACATATTTAATTATACCCATTTTGATTGAAAAACGTCCTTATAAGTGGACAAATATCGATATTTTTTGGTAGGGAGATTTGCTATCTAATGGAATCCCAAAGCACCAAATAACAACAAATTCCGTTAAAAAAAATGTTTGCCAAAAGTACCGAATATTTGGGTATTTCTTTATGTGGAGTCAAACCAACACGTGAACCTATATATCATATTTATACGCTTTACCACACTGTGGTACAGCGTATTATGTCTTTGTGCATATGTTTGTAACAGGCAAAAGGAAACGAGATAGACACATGGTTCCTTTTGAGAATATGCATAGAATCACTTTCTAAGTAAAATTATGCATGCCCGTCCCTCCGTCTGTCTGTCTGTCCATGTTAAATTGTAAACAAAGTACAATTGGATGAAATTTGTCATAGGTCACTTATTTGGCACAAGGACGAATTGAGAAAAATCGGTTCAGATTTAGATATAGCTCCCATATATATTTTCGTCCAATTTTATGTAAAAAGTGCACCAAAGTCCCTATATATCTTTCGATTTGCTTGAAATTTTGCATAGTGTACTAAATTTCGAGAAAATAGGTTCAGATTTAGATATTACTTACTTACTTAGCTGGCTTGTTATAGAACGGTTGTTCCATAAGCCGAGCTTAAAAAAGATTTCCAAGCGCGTTGGTCTTGTGCGCAATTCCACCAATGTGAAAGACCACGTTCCAAGATGTTGTTTTCTACTTGGTCTTTCCATCTAATTCGTGGCCTTCCCCTTCTACGGGAACCATCAGTAGACTCATTTGTATATGCCTTTTGAACTGGGGCATTCTCATTCATCCGCACAACATGGCCTAGCCCCGTAGTCGCTGCAGCTCAATACGACTGACTATGTCGATGTCCGCGTATAAATGGTAAAGCTCGTGGTTCATTCGACGCCGATATTCACCGTTGACGCAGATCGGTCCGTAGATCTTTCGGAGAATTTTTCTTTTAAACACCCCAATAGCTGCCTCATCTGCTTGCGCAAGTACCCATGCTTCTGATCCATATAATAGCACGGGTAGTATCAGCGTTTTATAAAGTGTGAGTTTGGTCTGGCGGGAGGTGGCCTTGTTTCTAAACTGCTTACTTAGACCATAGTGGCATCTGTTGGCCATTACATTCCTTCTCCGAATTTCAAAACTGATGCCATTCGTTGTATTTATGGCGGTACCAAGGTATATAAAGTCTTTAACTACCTCGAATCTGTAGTTCTCAAGTTCCACAGTTAGTCCGAGTCTACTGGACTTCTTGCGCGTTGATACCATCAGCTTGGTCTTCTTGCCGTTTACTGCAAGACCCACTTTGGCAGACTCATTTTCAATTTGTTCAAAGGTGGATGTTACCGCTCGCAATGTTCGATCCATTATATCGATGTTATCGGCGTAGGCGAGTAACATGTGTTGTTTGGTGTACAGAGTGCCATTTCTGTTCAACTTTGCGTCTCGTATGATCTTTTCCAGCAGGATGTTAAAAAGATCACACGACAAACTGTCACCTTGTCTGAGTCCTCGTTCGGTATTGAAGGGCTCCGATAGGTCCTTTCCTACTTTAACTGCTGACCTTGTGCCACTTAAAGTTATCCTGCACAGTATTCGTCCGATTTTAGGTAAATTGTGCACAAAAGTTTCAATATTCATTTCTATTGAGACAACATTTTTCAGAACGTATTAAAGTAGGTCCACCTTAATGTATACGAAGTTTTGTGAAAATCGGTTTTGATTTGAATATTGCTCCCCTATACCGATTTTTTTGGTAAATGGTGCACAAAACTCCCAAGGATTGTCTGATTAATACAAAATTGGGTACAATGTATTGAGATAGGTTCATTCAGATCTAGATAGGGATCCCATATATGGTTTCTTCCGATTGGTAAATGGTGCACCGAGGAGCCTACGTCTGTTCCATATACACGAGATAAAATTGTGAATAGCGCTCTGTGCTGCAGCATACCACGTTTTCTCAATTAGTTCCAGATTTACATATAGCTCCACATACATTATTTTGTTCGATTTCATACAAATGGTACACAAAAGAATCCGATTGATATACAATTTTTCATAGATTTCAGAATGGAATGTCCATGGGGTTTTAATATCTATGTAGATCACACATTTAATTTACCCCCATTCCATTTCAGGATATTAGCATCTATCTGTTGGATATTAGCATATCTTGTATGTATCCAAAGCAGTAGTCCGCACCGTCCGACTTTTTAACTTTCCTTACTGGTTTACTATTGCATATGAAGGAACATTATCACCTAACACATTCACCATATCGTTATGAATTTCTTGTGCCGGTGTTAGGCAACGAATTATATTAGCTTTTAGAAGGAGACACAAATAAAAGATCAAGTTCGAAATTGTGCTATATCGATCCACATATAGGCATATCTTGCCTCCATTGTTTACATAGTTTCATTTATGTTTAATGTCCCCTATTTAAAAATCTGAACCATTTTTTATAACATCGTGGGGTTCGATCTTTCCTATCAAGTAATTATATATTTATGGTGAAGGCTATCCAATGTTCGACCCTGCTTTTTCACTTGTTTTGTCTTAATTCGTGGGTTATTGTTCGATACCACTAAGTTCGTCACCTCTACGTTTCTTCGGTGTTGGGCCAGAATGTTTCGCATATGATCCTGAGAGAACTGTATATGCATATCTGTTACTTTCGTCACTGCCTATTTTAAGCTTCGGTTTGGCGAACTAGTCTCTGTAGGTCTTCTAAATTATAATCCATATTGAAAATCTTGTGAGATAGAAGAAATAGTCTTCGAATTGTCGTGGGGGACTTCATTATTTCATCCAGTACAATGGTATACATGATGGGTGACAGAAGGAATCCTAATTTCACTTCCACGTTGGTACATGGCTTATGTTCATGTTATGAAGAACCGATAGTTCTGCATCCTGGCATTAAATATTAAGGTTTGCGTAAATAAATGTATATGAGATTACACCTGCTGGAACACAAACTATATACCAAATTATCAATTTCGGGTGCAGTTGTTATTATTGGCTTAACTAAAAATCTTTAATACGCACTTATATCGGCTATATACATCGGCGTATTTAATTATTTAAATGTTAAAAAAACTTCTATGAATTCTTCGAGCAAAATTTCCATACCACGCCACCACCCTAATATACATTAATTCCCATATAAAACCACAAATGTCCTGC